TCAGGGTCCACGTGTGTGCTTTGTCCTTACTTCCTGGAGACACTGTTCTTGATGCACTTACCTCCTCTCATCCTCACAGCAGCACCCAGCAGTGGGGGCCACGCATCCCTGTTTACAGGAAAGCGTTCAGAGAAAAATCGCCCCTGAGTCCCCGGAGCCGCTTTGCCACGTAGAAGTGAACCCTAACTCTGTTTCTCACCCCCCACTTTCAGTTTCCCTGGCAAGAACGTCCCCCACGATGGCGGAGGAGAGCAGCAGTCGCGGGGACTGCGCGTCCTGCAGCGTGCTCAGCTGGGACCAGGTGAGCCGGCTGCACGAGGTGCTGAACGAGGTCGTGCCCGTCCACGGGCGGGGCAACTTCCCAACCTTGGAGATCACCCTGAAGGACATCGTGCAGACCGTGCGCAGCCGCCTGGAGGAGGCAGGCATCCAGGTGCAGGACGTCCGTCTGAACGGCTCTGCCGCCGGCCACGTCTTGGTCAAAGACAACGGCTTGGGCTGCAAAGACCTGGACCTCATCTTTCACGTGGCTCTTCCCACCGAGGTAGAATTCCACCTGGTCCGGGACGTGGTCCTGTGCTCCCTCCTGAACTTCCTGCCGGAGGGCGTGAACAAGCTCAAAATCAGCCCGGTGACCCTGAAGGAGGCCTACGTGCAGAAGCTGGTGAAGGTGTGCACGGACACCGACCGCTGGAGCCTCATCTCCCTCTCCAACAAGAACGGGAGGAACGTGGAGCTGAAGTTCGTCGACTCCATCCGGCGCCAGTTTGAGTTCAGCGTGGACTCCTTCCAGATCATCCTGGACTCCCTGCTCGTCTTCTACGACTGCTCCAGCCAGCCCATCTCCGAGCTCCTGCACCCCACGGTGATCGGGGAGAGCATGTACGGGGACTTCGAGGAAGCCTTGGACCACCTGCAGAACAGGCTCATCGCCACCAAGAACCCCGAGGAGATCCGGGGCGGCGGGCTGCTCAAGTACAGCAACCTCCTCGTGCGGGACTTCAGGCCCACCGACCAGGAGGAGATCAAGACGCTGGAGCGCTACATGTGCTCCAGGTTCTTCATCGACTTCCCGGACATCCTGGAGCAGCAGAGGAAGCTGGAGACCTACCTTCAGAACCACTTCGCTGAGGAGGAGAGGAGCAAGTACGACTACCTCATGATCCTGCGCAGGGTCGTGAACGAGAGCACCGTGTGCCTCATGGGGCACGAGCGCAGGCAGACCCTGAACCTCATCTCCCTCCTGGCCTTGCGCGTGCTGGCCGAACAGAACATCATCCCCAGCGCCACCAACGTCACCTGTTACTACCAGCCGGCTCCGTACGTCAGCGACGGCAACTTCAACAACTACTACGTGGCCCAGCCTCCAGTGACCTACAGCCAGCCCTACCCCACCTGGCTGCCCTGTAACTAACCTTGAGACCTGAGGGTTTTCTCAGTGGGGAACCCCCAGAGGGCAGGGCTCTCAGGTAGGGGAGCCTCCTTCTAGATGTAGGTGTTTGGCTTTTAAAGGGGAACTCAGCTCTGATTCTGCTTTTTTTTCTTTGTGGACCCATTGCAGTGGGTCTACAGTCTATCATGAGCCAACCCTGAAGGGACCCGGAATTGCAGTGCCACTTTGGAAAATGCTGTAGGAAGTATGGCCTCTCCACTTCTTTCCCAGACAGACGCTCACACGTCACGTCCGGAACGTCAGCGCAGGGGCCTGAGCTCTGTGCGGTCACTGAGATTGGGGGACGCGTGGGCAGCCGACGAGGGGGGCTAAGCTGCTCGTCTCCCTGGAGCCTGGAGCAGGCTGTGCTGGCCCTCGCTCGCCCGGGATTCTCAGTGACATGAAAGTTGTGCTGAGAGTCTATTTTCTTGTTCAGCTTTAGCTAGGCATGCCATTGTAAACACGAGGGTGCTCCTTTTTGTTCAAAGGACTACATGGTTTATGTTTATTCCCTGTCAGCAGAGCTGAGGATTGCTTTCATCAATAAACCAAAGCCAATCGCTGGAGAATCGAGGTCTGGTTGGAAGTGGTATATGGTTTAGATGTTGTGCTATCCTGAGGAATTGTGTGAGACATTGCTGAGGAAAAAAAAAAAAGGAAAAAAAAAGGTCTTTTCTTGAACTATAACTTGAAAACAAAATAAAATGTGGAACCTAATGTTAAAATAGAATTATGGTGGTGGGGGGGTGATTGTAAATAGGAAACAAGAATGTTCAATTTTTTTTTTCTTTAAGGAATTCTTCTGGAATGACACTTCTCGTTTCCTCATCAGCTCATCACTTTTGTTTTTCTCCTCCCGAGACGAAGGGTTGTGTGCCCAGGGTCCGTGTGGTGACTGACGCCTTCATTGGAAACCCACTTTGATCACATTCCAAGTATGACAAGCTGGTTTTTTCTGGAGTACTTGGGCTGACTTTTTTTGTTGTTGTTGTTTTTCAAAAGTAGAGATTTTCTCCTCCAGGTTTTGTTTGACAGCAAATGAATTCAGGAATTTCTGTGACCTGTGGAAGGACCTGCCCTTGTGGGCGGAGTTCTTTGGCTCTCAGTCGCTTTAGAATGGAACTGCTGTCCGCACGCTGCGCTGTGCGAGGGGTGGGGGGTGGAATGGAGCATCAGGCGGGGGCTGAGCGTCCAGCCAGGCCTGGTATGTCCCAGCCGTGCGGAGGCCCCTGGCAAGGATTGATTCTGGTGTGCCTGGGGAAGAATTGAGTGAATGAAGAAGAATCTTCCTTCTTCCGGTAGATTTGACCAGACCTGTTTGTATTCTGCACTTTAGAAGGAAAACAGTATTAACCTCTAGTCTAAAGCAAGCTTAGTAAATAGAGAGTTCTAGGCTGTTGCTTTCCCAGTAGATTAAAGAAGGGATTCTGTGTGTTGAAACTTCATGTACCATCTCTTAGCAAGCATCACTTCAGGGTATCAAGGGCAAAGAAATTCAATATTGCCAGCCAGCCTGGTTTCTAAGGTGATTTAATCTAACCCGTGGCCAGAAAACCCCGAGCCCAGAGTGATTGCTTTCTCCTTGATGCAAAAATGCTTCATAAAAAAGGAGTGGTTTACTTTTTTCTGAAGATTATATTTTCAGGTGGGTTGTGTTTTTTGTTTTGTTTTGTTTTTTCTAGAATGTGATGTTTTGGTCCGCTTAAAAGCAGATGGGGCAGGACTGAACCCCAAGGCTTACCTGGTCTCCAGGTTGTGCTGTATTAGGTGGACAGAGGCCACTTTTTAGTGTAACCAGCTCCTGTTTCCCTGGGAGCCAGTCACATGTAAATTCACTGGCTGCGAGTCAAGGCCCATCGACATTGGAGGGGAGGGGCGGGGTGCTTCAGTGTGAAAAGGGAATCCCGACTTGAAAAACAAGGTGGTCATCCATGACCTTAAATGACTGCCCTTGTGGTCAGATGGCAGCATGTTTGCCCCCCAATGGCAGATCTGTTTAACCACCTGTTAACCCCGATGAAGCTGCCAGCACCAGGCCCTTGCGAACAGGTCAGTACTGCATCCGCCCAGGAGGCTTGGGGAGGGGGCGTAAGGCTCCCGGGGAAGGTGGGGCCAGAACCCCACCAAGGAATTAAATTTCAGTGTGGCCTTGGTGTTCTTTCTGCTCATTGTTTTTCCTAGCTGGTACTAGTCCTTTTAGGGGAGGCACAGAAGATGCTAGAAATTCCCAGCCCCCCAGTTCTTGGCCATCCCTGCAGGACGGCCAGCTTGGTACAGTTTTTTCACCTGAAGTCTCAGGCAGCCCCTCTGCTTTGGAGTTTGAGAGGAGACGTGTTGGAGAGCCATCAGGGTGGAAAGCTGCAGGGACCCGGGCTGGTGGTCTCCACCCGCTCTGGGCGCGTTTGCCTGCCTCAGATCAGCCCGGGAACCTTGGGCTTCGGGTGTCTGGAAATCCCAGCTGCAGCCTGACTTCCATGCTGCTCACGAGCACGGGGCACTCTGAACCCGCTCTGGGCCCAGCGGTTCTTCTTTTCTGCTTGTTGAGTAACATGAAACTCGGCAGTGGCCAAGGGCACTAACGTTCAAGTGCAAGTTCTCGCGTGCATGCAGCAGCCGCCTTGGCTCCTCGGGACAGCTTTCCGAGGCCTCCTGCAGGTGTGCAGCTGGCCTCCCGCCTGCCGCTGGGAACCAGGTTGAGCAGCGGGGATGAAAGCAGGACCTCTCCCCTGGTGCTGGCAGAAGGGCACACACACTGAGTTCCTGGCCCCGCGCTTGTCTCCCCCTCAGACCTCACCTTGGCAGGGAGACGCTGTTCCTCACTCAATAACTCCAACTCGGAAACTAAACTCCGAATCACCACCACCTTAAATCAGGGTTCCTGCCGACAGCCTGTGGGATGTGGCCTGAGCCACACCCGGAGGCCTGGCAGATGGGGGAGTCGGGGAGGAGCAAAGCTAGGTTCCTGATAGATGGCAATGAATGTGGTTTGGCATTTAAGTCCCCCCCCCCCCAGTTTGATTTTTCCCCTGGAGATCTGAGTTAACAGTGAGCTGCGCGTGAACCTGTGGGCTTTCTGTGTGGTTTGGTTTTGTGACGATGCATTAATAAACAAATGGCGAGAGCCTCTCCACCGGCACTGGCCCCTTCCCTTCCCAGTAGGAGGACTTGAACTAGTGCCGCTTTCTTAACTGTGGGAAATGGTGCCAATCAAAAGCAACTTGCCGACTCTCGGAATACCTCCTCTCTCGTGAGCCTCCTGGGACTGGTGCCTTGTTTTAGGGTGCAGCTATTCTAAGCTTCCCTGTCCTCTCCCAGAAAATAAATGGCAGTTATCCAGCTGTGAGGAGAGACCCCAAAGCTCACCTGTGCTGTTACTTCTGGGGTGTCAGATTGGGGCTCCACACTAGGTCGAACCCTTCGGGGGGGGTGGGGGGCTGTCTGTGAGGTGACAGAACTTTGAGTTGCCAAGGTTGCGTTTTTACCCTTAACCTGGCAGAGACCAGAATGTCACAGCTGACTTTGGAACATACTCCAAACCAGCCAGTGACATTCAGAGGACCAGGGGAAGTGTGTGTGTGTGTTTTGGGGGGGCGGGGGGGGGCAGCCGTATATTTAAAAAGACCTGGCAACTTTTCAGGATTATTTGCGGAGACTGCCAAGGTGAGGATCAGAAACGAAAATGCTTTTTTGTGAGTTCAAGTTCTAAATTTTGTTGACCTATCACTTACAAAAAAATAGGTTAAGTGTCAGCAAAAGAAATGTTTGGATTTTTGCCTGGGCTGGTGAGAGTTGGTGCAAATTTTCATGTTTGCATAGGAGGTGAGGAGACCATACACCAAAGAGGAAGTCGTTAAATAACTGGATCTGTGGGTGTTTTAAAACTCCAAGCCATCTGGATGTTTTGCTTTTTTTTTTTTATGGATTAAAAAAAAACTGCTTTAGGAAAATTGAGAGTTTATATCCCTTAACTTCCAAATCCATGTAGGTAAAAGTAAGACACTCATTAGACTAAATTGAAAGTTTTTGTTCCTCTAGATTTGTGTAACCTCGAAATGTTAATTTGCTAGTGGTGCCTAGGATGCGTGAGGTTTCCTCTCTGGTGTAATGGTCACTGACCTTCCTACGTGAAGCAGGTAAAGTCACTTGTCAATGCAAAATGTATTAGAACTTGATGAAATAGCGCTTTGAGTTTGAGAAATAAACGTATATTAAAAAAAAAAATACCTTGTCCGTTATGCGACCTGACTGTGCTCAGTTCTTTGTGTGTCTCTTCAGCGGGGAACTTATTTTAGGTTTCCGGGAAGATGCTGCGTGGGGGTGGGTGGTTGTCGAAAGCAACCCTGGGTGCTGCTCTGAAGGATGGCGCTTTCTCCGGGGGGCACACGGTTACCTCGGGGCGCACCACTCCCTTCCCAGCTGGACTCTTCTCCAAGGCGCCCGACTGATGAAACCGAGCCTGGTTGGGGACCACAGCCCTCAGCGGATGCCCACGCCGCTGGTGCAGTCTTGAAATCTCCCTTCACGAAACCTCGCTGGATTTCCTGCTAAAAGCTGGGTGGTTCTGAGCTTGACCTTGGCCCCATACCCCTTTCAAGAGACAAAATGACTGCTGTATACAACAGCTACCGTGGTCTCTTCACATTTTAAAGGAAGCATAGGAGTGAACGAGTGACAGTTGGTATTGATAGGTGTCTGGAGGGTACAGAGAGAGACTGTAGATCGCACACGGTGACCAGCTTGCTTCCTGACCCTCTGCCCCCAGCCCTGCCCCTGCCATGGCCTCTCTTCCGTGCTGTTCTTTCTTGAACTCCTACGGTTTTCCTCTAACTGCCATAAAAAAAAAATGTATGGCTTGCCCTAACTGTTTTGGCTCAGTGGATGGAGCATTGGCCTGTGGACCAAAGGTTCCCCGGTTCGATTCCGGTCAAGGGCACGTATCTTGGTTGCAGGCTTCTCCCTGGCCTGGGCCCTGGTTGGGGCGCATGCAGGAAGCAACCAATAAATGTGTTTCTCTCACGTCGATGTTTCTCCCTCTGTTTTTCCCTCTCTCTTCCACTCTCCCTAAAAAATCAATGGAAAAATATCCTCAGGTGAGGAACAACAACAACAAAAACCAAAAACAAAAATGTATGTCTTTGTGTAAAAATGCTTCCCCCCCTGCCTTCAGCCTGCCTGTTCTCCTCAAACCTTTCCGTCTGAGATGAGCATCCTCGAGGGCAGCAGGCGGGGAGTCCGCCTCCAGGTCACTTCTTTGGGGTGTCCATTCGATGACCCTTCCCCTCGGAAGCCAGCCCGCACCATCCCTGTTGTCTGCAGCCCTAGAGTTGACTTCCTCTGTCATCCTCTCCTCGCAGTGGCTGGACTTTGGATCCAGAACTGCTCAGGAAGGTTGGGGTCACTCTCCTCCCTCCATGATCACAGAATTGGGCCCAAATCAAAGAACAGTTTTACGATCTTGTTATGGTTGCCTGTGAGCCAGCTCCCAGCGCCTCTCCCTCCTCCCCTGGACTGCCTGTTCCCTCGCAGTGTTCCTCGACTCTGCCCCTGTGGTGTTGCCTGCAGCACTTGCGTGGGCTACTTCATGAGTCTTGTCACTTTGCCTGTTATTTTTCTTGACTCCTCCGTGGGCTTCTTTCTAAAACAGATGCGGTCCCAGCCGGCCTGGCTCAGCGGATCGAGTGTCGGCCTGCGGACTGAAGGGTCCCAGGTTTGATTCCCGGTCAGGGCACATGCCTACGTGGTGGGCTCGATTCCCAGCGTGGGGGCATGCAGGAGGCAGCCGATCAATGATTCTCTCTCATCATTGATGTTTCTCTCTCTCTCTCCCTCCCGTCCTCTCAGAAATCAATAAAAAAATATTTTTAAAAATAAATAAAACCGGTGTTCCTGTGCCCGCCCATCCCGTAAAGCCTGCGGAAGACCTGACTGTGCGAGGGCAGGTGTCAGACCTAAAAATCTGAGGCGTCCAGCACAGCTCACTCCAGCCACCTTGCCAGCCCTTTACCTACTCCACTAAGCGGCCTCCAGCGCCCACAGGTCCTTCCATGCCCCCCACCGTGCGGAGAAGCCCCCAGGCACCCCGTGGCGATGTCACTCCTTCGCTGCCTTCCCACCCTCTGTCTCCGGCCTGCTGTTTCTGTCGGGGCACTTCCTGGGTCGCATCAGCTCTTCCCCCCCATGGGGGACACCTGCGTGTTTCACGGCCCCTCCCCAGCCTCCCACACAACCGGCAGAGCTTTGCTGCTTCAAATGTTGAGCTTGGTGCTTCGTCCCTGGAGGACTTGGACGGGGGCCACTGGCCCCCGGGAGGCTGAGTGCTGGCTGTTTACCTGGGTGTGTTGTAAAGCTCCCTGCAGCGCCAGGAAACATTCCGGTCCAGGCATTGTCCAGGCCAATATTGACACGCAGTCAACATGCGTGGGAAGTGGTGGTGCTCAGTTCCCTGGAATGGGAGTCACCTCCGGGACAGTGACACTGCGGGTCACCGGCTCTTGACCTCCTGAACGAGGCCCGGACTTTCGGCTGCAGCCCTCACACTCCCGGGCCTTCTTCTGAACACCCACCCACCCCGTACCTGCAATGCCTTTCCCTCCGGGTGTTCTAGAACAGCTTCTCCCATGTCACCTCCGAGGGTTAGCGCCTCAGCATCGGAGCGGTGCAGCCGTGAGCACCAGGATCTCCAGGGTCCAGTGTATTTGCAATTAGGGGGCAGTTTCTGCTCCTTCACCGTGCGCGTGGTGACGGCTGGGGTAGCAACCTCCTTTGGTTGTCATCTGGGATCATCATCTGCTGGAAGATGCCAAGAGCATCCCCAGGACCTCAGAGGGTTTTCCAAACAAGGGAGGTCAAGGAGAGGCACGTCGGGGTGGAGCCCCGTCTGAGATATGGTAAGACGTTGGCTGGCACCGTGGTCAGCACCTGGTCCACTTGCCACTCCTACTCACAGGCTGAGGGGGGACGCTGGTGAGGTCAAGTGACCGCTGTCCCAAGTGACCACAGCAGAGCTGGGCCCATGTGCCGGCTTCTTGCCGCCCGCTCCCAGGCGTTGTCCTGTACGGGGCTGTGTCCCTCTTCCGGGGGAGGAGGTGGACACGCGCTGTCCTGGCAGGGCACCCCTCTCCGGAGCAGGTTTCTGTGAGTGCTGTCCTGTCCGACAGCGGGGGACCCGGGCCGTGGTGGGAGGCTCCGTTTCAGGCTCCCAGCAATCGCTGACCCATGCCAGCCACCACCACGGCGCAGGTCTGTCCACGCCAGGCCTCTCATCAAAGCAAGTCACCACTCGGGCTGCCTTTCATGGTGGGATGTTCCTTAAAAGTGGTCCTGGGGGCCCTGGCCGGTTTGGCTCAGTGGATGGAGCGTCGGCCTGCGGACTCGGGGGTCCTGAGTTCGATTCTGGTCGGGGGCATGTGCCTTGGTTGTGAGCGCATCCCCGGTGGGCAGTGTGCAGGAGGCAGCTGACCGATGTTTCTCTCTCATTGATGTTTCTGGCTCTCTGTCCCTCTCCCTTCCTCTCTGTAAAAAACCAATAAAATATATTAAAAAAAAAAAAAAAAAGCGGTCCTGGGAGAGTCACCCGCCTTCTTTCAGATGCTCACCTGGAGGGAGGGTTCCAGAGCGGTAGTGTGTGTGTGTGGTGTGTGTGTGTGTGTGTGTGTAAGAGAGAGAGGGAGGGGGAGAGGAAGTGAGAGAGGGAGAGAGGGCACAACCGTGACTCTGGCTGGACTTTTCTAAACAGTCGTAGTGCATTCAATATGGGTCGGGTCCTAGCTTTTGCTCAGGGCTCTGCTGGAAGCTACAGCCGTGAGAGAATGGAAGGACCGTCGCTCACAGGTGACTGCGGCATTGGGGATGACCCACCACACGGTGCGCGTGTGGAGCTTGCAGGCCTCGGAAACCTGGGCGGTAGGTAGCAGTGTTCCCACAGACAAGGGAACGCCCAGGGGCTCGGAGCACTCCGGGGTCTCCCGAGCGGTGTGTCTGGTGAGAGGTCAGCTTGTGCACCACGACCGGACCCTCCCCACCGCCATAGCCACGCAGATAAAAGCTCATTGTTACGCCAGCCCCTCGCAGGCCAGAGAGGTGTTGAGTTGCCTGGTAATAGATCCGCTTCCCCTCCTACAGGAAGGAATTCCTTGGACAGGCCAGCGGCCCCCTCAGACAGCCCTCCCTTTGTGACAGGGGGGGCCGGGCAGGGACCTGCTGCAGGCTCGCTCCCGTGTTTGGGGACTGTCACAGGCACCAGGCCCTGTGCTCGGCACCAGCATCTAATCTCGAGCACCGCGGAGGTGGGACCATTGCGTGTCCAGGGGAAGCCAACGTGTAGGGTGGCAGAGCCAGGACCGGGCCATGGGGTGTCTGATGTTGGGGCTCAAGCTCTTAGCCCTTCGGTGATGTGCTGTTTTGCTCCCACATGTATTTTACAGGGCAGCACGTGGATGAGACACAAAAGAGCAAACATCCACCTTCCGACAGAGACTAACCGTTGATGGTTAGGAAACAGTATTACGACGGAGGCCAAAGGGACTGGTTCAACTGATTAGTCAAGAACAGCTATGCCCTAGCCGGTTTGGCTCAGTAGATAGAGCATCAGCCTGTGGACTGAAGGGCCCTGGGTTCGATTCTGGCCAAGGGCACATGTCCAGGTTGTGGGCTCTATCCCCAGTAGACCCCGTGCAGGAGGCAGCCAATCAATCATTCTCTGTCATCAGTGTTTCTATCTCTACCTCTCCCTTCCTCTCTGAAA